GAGACAGATAATCAACAAGTAAAACACAGATATGCAGCAGTGATAAGGACTCTGGAGAAAAAAGACACAGTAAGAGGAACAGAGATTGCCAATGGGGGATAGATGAGGCTATAATTCTAAGTGAGAGGGCAGGGAAGACTTCACTAAGTAGAGGACATTTGAGCTAAGGTCTGAAAAGGTGAGGGGTGAGCAATCTCTGTAGGTATTTGGGAAAGAATGTCGCAAACAAAGGCTAGAGCGAGTGCTGGGAGTCTGAGGCAGGAATGGGCCAGGAGGACAGGTGGCACCGCCAAGGAGCCCAGTGTAGAACAACAAACAGGAGAGAGCAGTAGGCAAACAGGGCTCTAGATCATGTAGGGCCCTGGTTGGGCACGGCAAAAACTCGGGCTCTTACTCCCGAGAAACAGGAGCCACTGGAGGAGACTTCTGATCGTAAGGGATCTCTCCTGCATTGGAACAGGATCACTTTGGCTGCAGAGTGGAAGCAGACCACTGGGGGGGCAGCACGAAAGTGAGCAGAGCAGTCAGGCTGCAATAATGAGGTGGGAGATGACCACTGTCTGGGGAGAGGGACCATGGTGGAGGTAGTGACAAGTGGATGGATCTGGAGATATTTAAGGCAAACCAACAGGGCTAATGATTAGTTTGGTGTCAAAGATATGATATTAAGATTTTTGACCCAGGCAACTAGAAGGATGGAATTGTCATTTACTGGGGTAGGGAAGATTCTGGAAGGCAGAGGGTCTGAATCAGGAGTTTGGTTCTGGACATGTTAGGTATGAGATGCCTAATACACATCCAAGTAAAGCAGGTAATTGGATAAATGAGTCTGGAGTGTGGGGAAGGAACTGGGCTTGAACTGCACACTTGGGAACCACCAGCATCTAAATGATACTACAGCCATGAGACCGAATGAGGTACCTAAGTAGCTGTTGTGAGGAATAAGTAACACAGAAAGCACCCAGTGTGGCATTAGGCATACAACACATGCTCAGTAACTTCCCCCTTGCAGCCACAGGGCACTTGGCGGGCTGTTTTGGAAACAGTAAACTACACCTTAGGGTATGATTTGGACTGCCCATGTATATATATAGTCCTTTCATAATTGGCTTGGTTTTCACAAACCTTCGGAACTAAAAGTTGTTGGTTTCAGCTTTCACATCTTTGCATCTCACATGTAATTTCCAGTGAAATCAGACTGAGCATTAATGTCCCCGTATTCACAAATGCCCACATGGTGACTATCAAACACCCTACTGTCACATCAGACCTGGCGCACACTGAGCACCTACCCACACCCAGGTGAAGCAGATGAAGCCTCCATTTAGTTAAATCAGCCCAGGAGACACACACCCGAGCGCCCACCCCCAAGGGATTACAAGATTAATTCTCAGGCAGCCTATGGCCAGCTGTCCCCAACTGACCGGCCTCACACCTCATTCGCTCCCTCAAGCCACTCTCTGCCTCTTCCTGGCCCAGTCTCCCGCTCATCTCCCTGCTGCACCACACTCTAATTTTCCACCGTGTCCTCCGAAGCTTCACTCCTTCGCATCCTCGGTCTCTTCAGTGAATGTTCCTTCTACCTCCTGCTTTCACAGAAACCTTGGTCTCCCTGAAAACACCCTATTCTCTGCTGCCCCGTGCGGTGGAGCCGCGCTTTCCTCAACACTCCGTACACCTGAGGATCCCTGTGTCCCCTCTGCACGCCCTTTATGCTCCCAAGACACCTTATTCCAAAACAAAACAAAAACCTGCTCACTGCTCACGCTACCTAGAAATATCACCTGCTACCCTCCCCTGCTGTCCTCGTGTGCTCCTCCTCCTCCAGTCACTACAATGTTAGTTTACGAGACATCCTTTCCAATCAGACTTAGAAGCGCTGTCCACATGCCTTAGAATTTTCAGTTTTACCCCCATTACAAAGCACGTGGTGCTCAAGAAATATTTAGTAAATAAATGAGTGAAAAGAATGAAATCTGAAGCCCTGGCTGGTATAGCTCAGTGGATTTAGCTCGGACCTGTGAAGCAAAGGGTCACTGGTTCAATTCCCAGTCAGGGCACTTGCCTGGGTTGCAGGCCAGTTCCCAGTGGGGGACACATGAGAGGCAACCACACATTGATATCTCTCTCCCTCTCCCCTCTCTCTGAAAATAAATAAATAAAATATTTAAAAAAATGAAATCTGGGGCATGGAGCAAGAGGTGAGCATTTTGGGGCCATATCCTTCCCAGTTTTCCAGACATGGATGAGGGTGCGGGGCACACCAAATTCCATCCTTGGGGGACTACTACTATTCCCACTCGAAAACTGAGGCTTTAGCAGGTCAATAACTCACTTAAGATTACAGCCAGTGAGATGTGGAACTGGGCTTTAAAAATTCATGTCTGACTGACTTCACAGCCCATGTGCCTAAGCTCCAAAAACCGCTGCCCACACGGCCCCCATCCCCTACCCCCCACCCCGCCCCACCAAACAACAGAGCTTGCAGTTATAAGACAAGGTTTTGAACAGAAACACTTAGTGCAGGCTTAGTTCTAGTTTATCCTTACGCTGAGTCCTTTGGGGTTCCAGTTCCAACTTAATGTGGAATGGATTGAAGATGGAAATGTGAAATCCAGTAGACCTGGAGGCGAGAACAAGGTCTACCACGTCATCCGAGCTTCAGAAGAGGAGTAGAAAGAGTGGGGTGGAGGCAATATTTAAAGAAATGGCTGAAAAATTTTCAGAATATGATTCTTATACTTAAGAAGCTAAATGAATCCAATCAAAATAAATGAAAACAAATCCTTATGTTTGGACACTTATAATTTGTAGAACCCTTTGTTTTAATTTTCATAAAACCTTGGAAGCAGGTATCGTTATCTACATCTTTTCTAAGGAAAAGCTGGGATTCCAAAATCTAAAACGAATTATCCAAGGTCCTCTCCTTTCGAGCAGCAGGGGCAGAATTCAAACCCAGGTTTCCTGATCCAAGTTCAACTCCTTTCTTACACGTCAGAAATAGAACACAGCACAGCAAAGACTTCTGAGGGAAAGACTTCCCTCACAAACAGAATCCTTAATTTGGAAACTTCTCCCTGGAAGCACATAAAAACCATTCCCACATATCTGTGCTTTCTTTCCTTTTGCTGAGAGCACTGGACTGGAAAAGCCTTTGTAGTAAGAAAGGAAAAATTCTATCTGGTACATTAACTTGTGAGTTAAACCAAATGAGGCCAAGCCAGCTCCCTGGGCTCTAGACCGAGCTGACTCAGCAGGTTCACAGAGCCAGCCTGACGCACAAGAGGAAGCTGCTGGACGGCACCCTGAGCACCACCCAACTGCCAGGACAGCGGGCGGGAGTGTCCTCCTAATCCTCCTCCTTACGGTCTTGAAGGCAGTTTAAATACTGTGGTTAACGTGTCCTACATAACACGTCTTGTTCATCAGCGTGATTCAACTCGGTAACACTCCATCTTCTATTCAGGTGGCATTTCACTTGTGTACAGCTCATACTTGACTTCTTTTTTTGCCCAAAGCATTAAATTAGAATTTTCTAAAAGTGAAGCCTGTGGCCTTCTAACATAATCAAGTCCCATTCCCCAGGATGTTTGCTCGTAGCTGACGCTGCTCTACTTGCTCGGTGTGAAGAGCAGACCATTCTTCCCTCGTGGCTGCCTCCATGATGTAGAAAAGCTGGGAGAATTACAACTCCTGAACTCACAGTATGAGGCAACAGAGCCAGGACGCCAGATGCCAGGAGAAGGGGCCAGATACCAGACACTTCCGTGGGAAAGCCAAAGAGCCCCAGACTTGATGTCTTGTATATAGGTGCAGCTATCACCACCAGAAGCAGCTGTGGTCAAGATCTCATGCAAGGGAGGAAATGGAGACACAGTCTGACCTTTCATGTCTGTCTCCCGTACAGGACAGGGGTCCTGGGTATACACAGAATACTAACAACAGAACAAAGACACAGCCAGTTTTGTAGCCATTTATCGCACATTGACCATGTGAGGGTTCCCACCCGGGGCATGAACACACAGAGTGAACGGAGGCTCATCTGAAGGCTTACTGATCTAGTCACCCTCCTATCATCCATCAGCCATCCTGCGGCCAGGTGGCAGTGGTTACTGAGCAGGTAATGAACACGTGCCAGGAATGTCTAGGTACTAGGGAGATGGAGAAGGCAAAAACAGGGAAGGATTCTGGAAGGATTCAATACCATTTACTTGAAAGCCAAGTAATCATTTCAACTAAATCCTTACCACAACACTGTGGGGCAGGTGTATCATTACCCTCACATTACAGAAGAAACTGAGACCCAGAGTGCTAAGTAGCTTGTCCCAAATCACAAGGAGGGTAAATGGCACTCTGGGATTTAAACAAAGCTTTGCCTGGCTCTGAGCCTGTGCCCTTAATAAATTAATACTCATTACATAGTTAATTATAATACAATGAAATAATTGGTGACAGGGGCAGAAAATTCACAGGAAGCATAGAGGAAAACATACTTATGTGTAAAAGGAAGAAGTCTTTGAGTTTCCTAGTGGACAAGCAAGGAAAGGAAATTTTAGGCACAGATAGTAAACATGATACAAAAGTACTGGAAAGCAGAGGGTTTACCTGTGGGAGGGTGATGGGGGAAGACCGGGGCCTGATCACAGAAGGCTCTGCCTGCCAAGCTGCAGAGCATCTCCGAGAGGCCACTGCCTCTGGCCACAACTCAACCATCAACTATTCTGGAGCAGAAGCCCTTCCGGGGGCCTCCTTGTCCCTCAAACTCTTTGCAGGGGTTCCTTCTCTAATGAGCTGCTGTGCCAGCCAAGTCTACGGCCTTATGTGTGCAGCCACAATGCCATCCTTTCCAGGCCCCCACAGGCTGCTGACAGACTGAGCACAGAGGCCGCAGGGAACCCCCCATAACCACAGGGGTGATGACAGCTGGCCCTTCAAAGTTGGAAACCAGCTCTCACAGACCTCTCTAGCAGGGAGTCAAGGCATTTTCTCATTCTACTCACAGTTTAGAGTCCAGCTTCAGGAGGAAGCCCAACCGGTCGTACTCTGAAAAAGAAAAGCAAGCAGAGAGCGTCACTGCAGGCAACCCACTGCTGACACTTGCAGCTGCATGCCCAGACCCAGACAGTAGGGACAGACAACTGCCTCGGAGAACAGATCCAAACACACAAGCCACAACTAAACCTAAGGCACAGAATGTACTGGACGTCTGTTTTGTGAAGGACCAGGTTCAAGCCAGGTATTGACTATAATATCTAGGCCAACCAGGCCTAGGCTGTTTTATAATTGCCTTCCTGCTTAAAAATAAAATTAAGTAAGCCATAAAACTGGACACCTGGAAAAGAGGGTCAGTAGTAATCTCTGCTTCCTCTAAGCTCTACGCGTAATGTTTGATCATCAACCACATTAACTGGGGGTAAAGATGTGGCAGCCAAGGAGTCCCCAAATCCAGAGCAAGGATCCCCTATAGGACAATCACAAACAATGTATAGATCTGATTACATAAGGAATAGGAAATTTGAAATGAAATCTAAGAACAAATTGATAAGATGTTTATACCAAATGATAAATAATAAATATTTTATGTTCTTTATATCTTGCCTCATTCTAAAAGGAAGTTGAAGCAGTTTTTTTAAAAAACCGTATGAAGGCACGAATTGGTGGAACAACAAATAGACATTTCCCTCTCTACAATCAATCAATAAGATAAAAAATAAAATTACCCCCCCAAAAGCCCCAAAACTGTATTAAGTGCAAGATTTTGAAAAGAAGACATGTGGGGTCCAAAAGGTAAATAAGCAAAGAAGAAAACAGTCAAATGCAGCCAGGAGAGAACATCAAAAGCGGATGTCCTAAGGTCCTCTGCTCACTGGAGGAGGATTAAAGATCTGTCCCCAAGACTTCCCACAGTTGAAACTAAATGCAAAGCACTGATATGGTTTACAGTGTCTATAAATAATCCAGGAGAATCGTAGCTATTCCTGATAATAAGATTTGAGGGAATTTCCTCAGTGTTCCCAAAAATATTTGTAAAAACAAAAGTGACAGGATGTGTCATGGGGTTATTTCTTATAGCTCTGACCAATGACTGTGGGGGGCGGGGTGTGTTTAGAATGGCTTCCACGTAACTCTGACCCATGACTGCAGTGTGTGCGCGTTCAGAATGGCTTCACCAAAACAAGGCTGTCTATGAATGCAGCTCTCAGCTGGCCTGACTGAATCTGAGGACAAAACCTTATATGAAGACCAAACAGCCAAGCAGAAAAGGCTAGACAGCAAAGCTTTTGAGGAACACAGCCTCCAGTGAGTACTGAATGAGCAAGAACGGGAAGTTACACATAGTGACAGGCACCCCCAGCGTCATTCTCAAGCCCAGTTAAAGCCAGACCTGTGTGCTTTCATAAGCAGCTAAGCTGTGGTGAGAGCAGAGTTCCTCTAAAACTGAAGATGCCGACTAGGACACCTAACTCGACCGCAGGCTTGCCTCCCAAGGGAACACACTTTGGCAAGTGAAAGTCCTTTTTCAAAATAATTCTGGTTTTGCTCTTACTCAAATAAATAGGTGAGAAGCTTTGCTTAATAATATCAGGAACTCATGAAAACCAGTAAGAAAAACAAACAAAAAAAGGTTTCAGTTGAAAAAATAAATGAAAAACAAAATTTGCAAAACGTTACTTTCCAAGTTTCACACTCTTTCAACAATCCTACTATAGCAGTCCACGAAATAGCAGATCTCATTAACTGGACAAACACTCGCCGCTTTTCTCTCAGGTGGCCATAACCTTGGGGCAACTATCCTGCTATTGCTCTTAGACCTGAGCTGCGCCCTCCTGGACACCTTGGGTGCAGGAAGAATCCACAGTTCTGTCAATTCCTTCCAGAGAGGCCAGAACATGTTTTCTCCCTGCTGCAAACTCAAATGTCAGGGGTCAGGGAAGAACGCAGATAAATGAGGGAAGTGAGGGAAGGTAATACCCACCCATAGCAGCTCACGCCATTTATTTTGGCTGTATTAAAAACAAGTTGTTGAAATGTCTTTTTTAACCACATATTTTCAGTGTAGTAATCATTATCACAAATATGGTTTATTTTCCAATGGCATCTAAAATTTGGTTTTACACACACACACACACACACACACACACACACACTAATTGCATATGGAACATGTAGGAACACTTTGTATTTCTAAAGAAATTATATCCCTTTCATGGTTCTCTTGGTCTATCTGTTTTCTCTCTTTTGTTAGAATGCCTGAATATCAGAAATATTTCACTTTATTCTTTAAGAAAAGGAACCTGCATGGCTCGGTGATGAGAACGGCAGCCGACAATGGACACGGCGCCTGGAGGAAACGGCTCCACTGGAAACCGCACGCCCTGCTGAAGGGTGGCCTCCAGCAGTTCCCGCTGACAGCAGACCCTCCCAGGCAGCGACGCGGGCCAAGCCACACCACAGCCTCTGATTTTTCCAAAGCCAAGAATCTGGATCTCTTAAGGTAAAACCTCTCAATTTGTAAGTACTAGCAATAGATGCAAGGAAAACTTTAAAGATTAGGGGGCTCGCACACTGTGCCCATGGGCAGGATGCAGCTGGAGGCTAACGACTGGTGAACTCTGTCCTAGGCTGGCAGCTCATGCTGGAGGCATTTCTGTTCTGAGGCTCGGCACGGTAGACGATCAGTAAATATCTGACTGTCATCAGGATTATTTGGTCACAATGTTCATAAAAACAAATCAAACTAGTCTACCCAAAGGCTACCTTATCACTATTATATAAGGCTGGACACTCTAATTTTTGAACCGGTGACTCAATGTAACCATGAGATTTTTATTACCTCAGAGGTATCAATAATTCTCTGGACTTCCCACACTGAGAACAGTTTGAGGGGACAGAGGGAGACAAATGAAGGTGTCTGCTTATGCACCAATGTGTCCACATCCAGCATAGTGGTTGCACTAACTTAGACAAATAGGGCAATTTAATGGCTCACATAGCCAAAGTGTGGGAAGGGCCAGGGTGCAGAAAGTGACTGCAATGCCATCAGCCCCCCTCCACTAGCTTTACTCTCCCCCAACCAGCCTTCTTCCTAAGCTGGGAAACATGGAGCCCACAGTTTGCAGGCACACGTCTTCAGCTTTGCCACTGAGAAGGAAACAGGATCCTGACCTCTCTGTTCCTAATGGCAAAACTCCCTGGGGAGGGTAGGAATGGTCCAGCTTACATTAGTTCTTTATACCTGTTCAACACAGTGATGGAAGAGACAGGGTTTATAAAAAATTATGCTTCTGCATGACACGCGTGATGAGAAGGGTATTTTACCAGAAGAAAGGATGCCCTGCCCTGAACAAAGGACTCTCAGGAACAGGAGGAAGGCTCTGGAAAACTAGAGCTAGCTCAATCTCCCAGGTATAACCACAGTTAAACTGGTCCATGGACTTTTTCCCTCTCTCATCCCCATTCCACTGCAAGGATTTTCTTCCCTGACCAACCCCCTTTTTAAATCTTTCTCAGAATGCCTTCAGAACCCCCTGTTCCAACCACCTGGCTCACCTCCCGCTACATCTCCCGCGAGACCTGAAGCCTGGCTCTGCCTGGCGAGACCTCGCTTTTCAGGCGGCTCTCCGGGAAGGCTGATTTTTCTCTCAAATGCCAAGTACCTGTGGGCAGTGAGGAGGGTGTGCGCATGGTGGTGCAGTTTGCTGAGCTTCTTGGTTCCGTGGATTTACAGTTTAACCAAAATTGGATTTTTGGAGGGGAATTATTTCTTCAATTTTTCTGTCTTTTCCTTTCATTTCCAGGCTCCCATTCAGTATGTATTAAGCTGCTTAAAGTCCCACCACTCCCTGATGCTCTGATCATTTTTTTCCAGTAATTTTTTCGCTCTGAATTTCAATTTGGATGATTTCTATTGACGTATCATCCAGTTCACCACTTTTTCTTCTTCAGTGTCTAATGTGCTGTTTATCCATCCATTCAGTATATTTTTCATCTCATTTATATTTTCATCACTAGGATTTTTATATCTTTTATGTCTTTTCTTAATGTTCTCATACTTCTACCTTCTTGAAGATATGAAATGTGACTTAACGTCTCTGCCTACTAATTATATCATTTGTGTTTGTCTAGACCTGTTTCTATTGACTGAATTTCCTTTTCGTTGTGGGTTGTATTTTTATGCTTCTCTGAATTGCCTGGTTATTCTTGATTAGATGCCAGCCATGTGAATTTTACCTGGCTGCATGCAGGTTATTTGTGCATTCCCTAAGAATTTATGAAGTGCAATTAAATTACTTGGAAACAGTTTGATCCTTTCAAGCTTGCTGTTAAGTTTTGTAAGGTTGGAGTTAGGGGCAAAAGTGAACTGTACTACAGGACTAATTTTGCACCTGATTTTGCCCACAACTAAAGCACTAATACCCTCTGAGTTTGCTATGTGATGCCCTATCCACTGTGATGTTTTACTCCACTTCCCAGCCGTGTGAGCAGTGGTGGGGATGATTCTGCCTGGTGCTTCCCAGTGGTTCTTTCTCTGGCTTCCAGCTGCTTCTGCACACGGATGCGCTGGCCAGCTGAATACACAGGCAGGTTCAACAGCTCTCCAGAACTCTCTCTGTGTGCAGCGCTCTCCTCTCTGGTGTGCTGCCTCTGAGTTCTGGCTGCTTTGGTCCCTTCAATTCTCAACTCTTGTTTCCTCTTAAGACTCTCTTGGGTTCTGTCTAGGTTCTTCTTCCTGTGCTGCAGTCTGAAAACTCTGTCCAGGCCATGAGCATGGGAAATTACAGAGATAACCTTACTTGCTTCCCTTCTTTCAGAGATCGGTGTCCTGTGCCACCTATTGTTCAGTGTCTGAAAAAACTGTTCATATATTTTATCTGTTTTTAGTCATTTCTCCTTCATTCTTGATTTTCTTCCTGATCCAGCCTAGGTGACTGGATACTTTGTTCAACTATTCAATTTAGCTGGATGCAGTGATCTTTCCATTGCACCCAAGTGAAGTCTCTCGTTTCTGCCCAACTCTCTCCTGAGCTCCAGACTCGTATGCC